AATGGGCCAGCCCCTCCATCCCATATGCACCCCTCCCGTTCCGGTGCCCGGCGGCCTCCACGCCGTTCCGAATATATTTCCCGTGCCCGGCGGCCTTGTTCAACTTGTTCGGCAACGGCGGCCTGCGCGAGGCGGCAGCGGGCAGCCTCTCCTCGCTCCCGGCGGAGATCGAGGAGAGCATGCTGCCGATGTTCAACTCGCAGCGGCAGACCGGCACCGGCACCGGCGGGCAGCATCCGGTCGGCGTGCAGACGTCGTTCGATAGCTCTCACTTCCTCGCGCCTGCCCGCCCGGCGGTGGTCGCTATACCCGTCCAGCAGGGCGTTTGGGCGAGCACGAGCGGCGGCACGGGGTTGGCCGGGGTTGCGCCGACGCCGGCGTGCTTTGCGGCTCCGGCCGCGTCGACCGCCGTGGGGGCGCCCGCGCATGCCCCGCGCGCCCCTTGGGTGGACGCTTTTCTGAGCCTCGGCATGCTCGCAGCAGAGAGCGAGGCCACGGCATGCGAGCCGTGGCCGAGGGGGGAGGGGGAGACGGTGGGGGCAGGGGAGGCCTCTGCGCCCGAGGCGATGGAGGAGGGGGTGGAGGTGGCGGGAGATAAGGCGGAGGAGGCGGCGCCACGAGACGAGGTGATGGCGGAGGCGGGAGAGGAGGATGAGGCGACCGAGGACGAGGCGAGTCCAGTTGCCCCTCGCCGCGTTCCGTGCAAGGCCGCCGGGGTAGTCGTGGGGGAGTGGTGGCCGGCCGATGGAGATGATGCGGCGTCGGGGGGGGAGGCTGTGAAGCCCGGTACGGCGGCGACGCCTTGGTCGACGGAGGCGGTGGCTGAATAGGCCAGGTCGGGGGGGGGGGGGGGGGCGGGGGTCCCCCTCCCCTGATCAAAATGAAAAATTCAAATGCGGTAAACCGGCCCCATGAACTCCTCCTCCTCCTAAAGAGGCCCCTGCCCCTTCCTCGCGTCGGCCGGGGGGGCCGCCTTTTTTGCCCATACCACCGGGACTCGCCTCGCCAGAACCTGTGCCGCGGCCTCCCTTTCTTTTGCGAGTATGTCGAGACTTAAATACCCAAATTTCGGATCCCCCCCAGGCTGCGTGGGTGCCCCGGCCGGAGCCCCCCCCCCAAGGCACCCTCCCCCCCCGAATAGGGGTGACCCCCCGGCGGCGGGCTGCTCCCCTGGTTCTAGCGACCCCTGCAGCTCCCACAGGAAGCTGCGCTCGACCGAATCGACCGAGGGCCCCCCGGTCAGCGGCGAGTCGGGCATATAAACCCCGAGGGGCTGGGCCATGA